CCCTGAGCTCGCAGCTGGGCCCTTACGGCGTGTTGAGCACCAGGCGGTCCCACTGCCCCTTCACATCATCATCCTCTGGCTGCTCCGTGATGTAGAGGCCGTCAAACTCCAGCTTTCGGGCCAGCTCCTTTTCCCGCTTGAAGATCACCAGGGGCACCTAGAGAGAAAGAGGCGGGAACAGAGGGTAAGCAGCAGGCACCTGGATGAGGCCACCATCAGCTGCTTCTCTGCAGAAGCTGTGACACTTCTCTGGAGCCTGTGGGAGACCTTACATCAGAGGAGCTTCCCAGGGAGACCAGCACTGAAATAGAGGCACAGACCAGGAGTCAGGCCAGGACGGGAAAGAAACGGCATTGTGTACAAGGCTGGCCCCATGCAGGCTGGCGCGTCCCAAGTAAAGGAGGCCCCACATGAACCCGAGGAAGGCTTAGAGAGGAGCCTCAGGAGGTAGTGGAAACGCAGCAAGGCAGAGCAGGTAGCGAGTGGGTGACGCGTGCACAGAGCTCAAAGTCAGAAGAACTCTGCTCCTCCTCTAAGTAAAACGATAATTGATTTCCTAAAACTGCCAGATCTCGTGGAACCCAAACTGATGCGTCACGCCAGGTCTCTGGGGCATCACAAACCTCGGGCCTATCCTATATCAGAACCCACAGGGACCAAGTGGACCCGAGAGATCATAATTCACTAAATGACTAACATACAGAAAATAATATTCTCAATGGCAGATTTGCCCCCCAACTGAGAAATTAACAGTCACTTGTGGGGCACAGAAAGTCCTGGATGTGGCCCCTCCGCTTGGTCTGCATCAGTTCCCAAGTGGAATATCTCCCTTGCTGAAGACTCTAGTCCTTACCCAACCTCAAGCCCCTGCTGCAGACCCTGGGCCAGGTCCCCTTAGCCAGCGTCCAGCTTCCTGCCGTCCAAGTCCCTGTCCTGGCACATGGTCATGACCCACCTTGAGACAGTTGTAGCCGATGATGCAGAGAAAGGCCACCAGTGTGTGCAGCAGGCTCAGGCACCGCAGAGCAGGCTCCATGTAGCCCGTGCTCTCCTCCAGGAAGTAGTACACCATGTTCTCATCCTCGTCACCCTCTGCCTCCTCACCAGCACCTGAGCCCCAACCTGAGCCACCACCAGATCCTGCACCTGACATGTCCCCGGCTGCTGAGCCCTCCATGTCGTCCTCCCCTGGTGGAGAGTCTGAGACCTGAAGTAGGGCAGAGAAGAATCAGGGCAGGGACCCTGGTGCCCTGGCACCTGGCTTCCATCCCCAGAATCCACTTGCATAATTCGCAGCTTCCACTCCTGAGGCTGGGTGCGGCCTCTATCAGATACATAGGCTTGAGAGGGCTGTCAATCAAGACTAGGGCTGGCCCCAGGACCCTAGCTAGCCAATCAAACTCTGACCTAGGAATTTGCCCAATGAACTGAGCAGGACACTAGAATGTCTTGATGGTGGGGCCCTAAAGACAATCACCACTAATGACAATAAGACCAAGATGAACAGCTGCTAACATTTTATATAGAACTTTATTTGTTTTGGGTATCAGTGATTGAACTCAGGACCTTACGCTTACCAGGCAGGCGCTTAAGCCTGCTGAGCTATATCCCTGGCTCTCAGAACTTTTTTTGATAGTACTGGGGATTGAACCCAGGGCCTTCACATTGAGCTGATCCCCAGATCTTTCCCCCCTTTTGAGAAAGGATCTCACTAAGTTGCTAAGTTACCCAGTGTGGGTTCAAACATGTGATCCCCTGCCTCAGCCTCCTAGAGTGCTAGAATTATAGGTATGCCATCATTCTATACAGTGCTTTTAAAAAAAATATATTTGGTTTTTACAGAGTCTTACTATATAGCTTGGACTCGTGGTGATCCTCCTGCTTTCAGCCTCCCCAGCGCTGGGATTACAGGTGTGCACCACGGCGCCTAGACTCCAGCTGGCTTAGCCTGCCCTAGGGGCAGGGGCTGGCATGGCACGTGGTGCCAGAGATCGAAGTGTGATCCTTGCACTTGCCTAAGCAGGCACTTTAGACTGCTGAGCTATTCTGTCAGCCCAATACAGCACTTCTTATATGTCTAATGCTCTGAGTGATTTGCACATGTTAATTTTTTTTTAATCTTCACACTTGTTAGAAGACATAGTTACTACCCTATTTTGCAGAGGAAGAAACTGAGGCCAGAAAGGTTAACTATTTTTCCTATTATGTAGCCAGTAAGTGGTGGAGCCAGGACCGGATCCCAGAGAAGCCACATCTCTGTCTAGTCTGCTCTTGGTCCCGTTATCTAGAAACCTGGCCACGGCCTGAGGGTCCCTTTGTCCTTCTGAGGCCGGGTTCTCAGCCCTTTCCCTCCATCCTGAGTGGCCTACTTCCTCTTCTCCACATGCCTCTTGCTGACAGGGAGGCAAAGCAGCGAGTTGCTGGGTTCCCTGGGGCAAAAGGCTGCCCTGGGCACAGGGCTGGCACGTGGTGGAGGTGGGCCAAGAACACAGCCCCAGCTCTCGCTCCAGTTCCCACAGACTCTGCCATCTGTCCCAGATGAACATGGATGCCTTCAACCCAGATACCAGCCCAAACCCTCCTAAGAACCTGAGCCCAACGCCTTGTTCCTTCGTTGCAGCCTGGGACCCTGCAGGGGTCTGAGGCTCGCCCCACAGCTTGCCCCACAGCCTGGATATGGGTGGATCCCTCCAGCCCCACGTGACAAGCACCTTATAAAACAGCAAGATGAAGTTGATGGCAAACGCCAAGAAGAGGGCCAAGAAGCGCAGTGTGTAAAAGTTCCGGGACAGGTAGTTCTAAGAGCGGGTGAGAAAGACAGAGTTCATCATCTGGCTTTTTCCCTGTAGAATCCAACCCAACATTTACCCACAACCAGTGTACCTGGTCCTCAGCACCTGGTCTACCACCTCCTGCATCAGCAGCAGTAGCAGCAGCAGCACCACCATCATCTCATCATCATCATCATTATTGTTGTTATTATTATTATTATTATTATTAGTAGTAGTAGTAGTAGTATTGTGGTACTGAGGATTGAACCCATGGCCTTCACACTAAGCTACATCCCCACCCTTTTGAAAATTTTTAGTTTGGGACAGAGTCTTGCTAAGAGGGTAAGCTGCCAAGAAGAGGGCCAGGAATTGCAGCATGTGAAAGTTCCAGGACAGGTTGTTCTAAGAGTGCATTTGGCTTGAACCCAAATTGCATTCCTCCTGCCTCAGTCTCCCAGAGTCCTGGGATTACAGGCCTGCATCACCACACCTCACTCAGCCTACTACTTATCAAGTGCCTATAGTATACCAGGCACTGGGGACAGCACTTTATATGTATGAATTTGTTTAAAACTCCCCACAATGCCATGAAGAGGTGCTGCTGCTGTTACGCTCACCTTACAGATGAAGGAGCTTTACAGATGAGGGGGCTTTATAGATGAGGGGGCTATGGCTCCGAGAGGTGGTGTCTTGCTCAAGGCCACACATCCAAGGAGTCACAGATTGGGTTTTTGGTTGCTTTTGTGTGAGTGTATGGTATCGACAGAACCCAGGGCCTCATGCATGCTAGGCAAGTGCTCTACCACTGAGCTGTATCCCTAGTCCATGTTCATTTTCTCAAGTTTGAGACAGGGTCTTGCTAAATTGGCCAGACTTGCCTTGAACTTGTGACCCTTCTACTTCTGTCTCCCAAGTAGCTGGGATTGTAGGATGGCAGACCTACCCAGCCACTAATGAGCTCTTGCGCATGAACTTGACTGCAAAACCAAGGCAGAGACAAGCAGTAGATGCAAGCGGAGTCCCCCCAGAGCAGGCGTCTCAGCACATGCTGCTGGGGACTCACCAAGAACTTCACCCTCTGCACCTCCAGCTCCCCCCAGAATTCCAGGCCTGCACCTCCAGCTTCCTCCTTCTTTGGAGGGGGTGGAGGAGGTGCTGTCTTCTTGGGAGGTTCTGGTGGGGGCTCAGGGGCTTCTTCCTTCTCCCCATTCTCAGCACTGCAAGGCAGGACACAGAAAGAGGTCAGAAGGCACCAGGGTGATTCATTTACTCAGGGCCAATCACTGGGCCCACCCCATGCCTGGCAAAGTCTGGATGGTGCTGGGGACACAGGGTGGTGTGACAACCTCAGGCCCCACCTTCACGGGGCTCTAGTCCAGTGGAGTGGAGTGGTCCTGGCTGGGGGCTGTGGGAACCTGGAGGAGACATCTACTTAACTTAGGAGGGGCTAGATGTCCTGGACATAGAGACACAAGGATAAGGAAGACTCGTGAAACATAGGGAAGGTGTTCAGGTAGGGGGAACAGCAGAGAAAGGACAGGGGCTAAGAGGACCCTTTCAGTGTCTGCTGTGCCCAGGTCCAGGCTGGATGATGCTGAGGTCACGGGTGGCCAGCACAGCTTCAGCCCTTGACCTCAGAATGCTTCCGATCCAGGAGGGAGGCAATGACAGGGGCCAGGCCCCTTCTATCTAGAAGCACTCACTCGGCTTTCTCAGGCTCTGGCTCAGGCTCAGGCTCTGGCTCTGGAGGCAGCTCCTCCTCTTCACCATCCACCTAGGGATAGGGCACACAGCTAAGCCTTCAGGGCTGACCCTCCTCTTCCTGTTGGTCCCCTTCTTCTTGCCCCCAGCCATTTCCACCAGAAAAAAGTGGGATTATGATTCCTCTTGTACAGGTGGGGAACTGAGGCTCAAAGAGGTGAGCATGCAATGTGTAATTAGGCTTACTCCAAGGCCTGCTTTTGTCTCCCCTGGCAACAACTGCAAGCCACCATGACAGTCCCAGCATCATGGGCCTGGGATCACGTTGGGGCCTTTTTGCATAGGCTATGGAATTACCCAAAACCATGTGTTTCTGGGGGTGTTTTCCTTGACAGTGTCCCTGAACCTGCTTTCCTGAGTCTGTTTATTCATTTATTTTTTAATGGTACTAATACTGGAGAGTGAATCCAAAGTCTTTACTCTGAGCTACATTCCCAGCCCTTTTTTCATCTACTATTTTGAGACAGGGTCTCACTAAATCTCTAAGTTGCTCAAGTTGGGCTCAACGTTGTAATCATAGGGGCAGGGGAGATGGCTCAGTAGAATAAGCACTTCCCTGGCAAGCGCAAGGGCCTGAGTTCAATCCCTGGTTCCACCAAAAAAAAAAAAAAAAAAAGTGTAATCATTCTGCCTCAGACTTCTAGAGTGCTGGGTCATAGTAGCGGCTTGCCACACTAGGCTCCCTGAGTCTTCACAATTTTGATTCCTTTCTCTCATTTGGTCTCTGGGTGTCAATGAGTGGCTCCAGACCTTGCCCTCTACCCCAGCCTTTCTCCAGGTGACTTCTGGGGGTCTGCCTCATGGATCCCCTCCACCCTTCTCTGGCCCTTCCTCCTGCCCCGAAAGCATCTCCACCCACCCAAGTCTGCTGCTCCCCCCTACCCTCCTCTCCACACTCTGACACCCCCATCTGCTTCCTCACCCCCAGCTTCCTCTTGAGTATTGGGGAGCCCTCGGGCGTGGGTGGCTCCACCGGCGTTGTGTCACCCATGTCCCCAAGGCCACCAGCCCCTTCGGGCCGGAAGGGGCTCCCGTTGGCCACTGCCACCGCCCCCTCTGCGCGGCCCTGCCCAGCTTCATCCGAGGCGACCTCCTCGTCGCCCACGCCCTCTGCGGCATCGCCCTCGCCTTCGCCAGCGCCCTCGCCGTCCGCGTCGCCACCGGGCCCGGTTGGTTGCTCGCCGTGCACCTCGTCGCCGGTGGGGTCGGGCATGCCAGCCAGCAGCTCGGTCACGGTCACCTTCTTGGCACTGTCCACCAGGCCGCCGCCAAAGAGCGAGCCCCAGAGCAGGCGCAGCGCGCCCACCGCCGCCCCCGCGCCCGCCGCCCCGGCGCGCGCCAGCACCGCCCAGATGAGCGCGGCGACCGCGGTGGCTGCCTCCCGCGCCGTGAGCCTCCGCAGCCGCCGCACGCGCCGCCGCAGGCTGCGGTAACTGATGCCGCGCAGCGCTCGCGCCAACGACGCCGTCAGCCGCGCTGTGGCCCCCGCTGCCGCGCCCCCCGCGCCCTCCGCGCCCCCAGCGCCTTCTTCCGCCGCTTCGGCGCCCGCTTCGGCTGCGCCCTCGTCCTCGTCCTCCTCGGGCTCGCCCTCGGGCTCCGAGATCTGCGCGGCGATCTGCATCTCGAAGATGGTGTCCTCGCAGAAGCTCACGAAGAGCTCCATCTTCTCCGCCTCGCCGCCCTCATTCACCACGTCGAAGATGAACTGGCGCTTGGACTCCTTCACCTGCAGCAGGGAGCGGGTGCATGGGAGCGCAGTCAGTGGGGAAGGAGGGCGGCCACCAGGGCAGAAAAGCTAGGCAGGCACGTTCTACGTGCCTGGACCTGCTCATGAGCGTGATTGCTAGTAGGAGTTCGGGCCTTTGTGTTGCTCAGGTTGGTTGGCCTCGAACTCCTGGGCTCAAGCAATCCTCCTGCCGCAGCCCCATGCTTAGCCTTAAAAATATTAACAGCAGGGCCAGGCAAATAGCTCAGCGGATTAAAGCGCCTGCAAGCAGCTGAAGCAGCTGGGGGTTCGATTCCCTGGAGGGACATGCTGAGAAGGTGATTGAGACTGGGCATGGTGCTGCAGTGCCTGAAATCCCAGCTCTTGGGAGGCTGTAAACAGAAGAATTACTATGAGTCCGATCTAGTAGGGAGACTCTGAACACCCTGTAGACCCTTCCCTAAAATACAGGGGGAAAAGGAAAAAAAATACACACACACACACACACACACACACACACACAGCAAACATACATAGCCCTTGCTGTAGGTGGTTTTGTAAGCTGCAGTCAGGGCAGATCCTGATTCGAGCATTTTTTTAAAACACACAACTCATGTAAATTTCACAAAACACCTTTGGAACAAGGGTCATAATCTCCACATTACAGACCAAGACATGAAGGCCCTAGAAAGTCACCTGCCCAGGGTGACACAGATGAGAGGTGGCAGATGTGGGAGTTAAATTCAACACACTGGCTTTAGAATCACGTTTTTAGTTTGTTTGTTTTTTTTTTTCAGAGCACACACAGGGTGGCTGAGAAAAGTTTTGCAGCCAGGGTGCTGAGGTTCGAATCTTAACCCTGCCACTGAGTAGCTGGGGGATCTTGATGGGGGCATCTCAGGACCAGAAGGGAGGCCTGCCTGCAAGGGGGAGCTCAAGGTTGGTGTATAGGGTGCAAGGGTACAGGAGGGCCACCAGCATGACAGAGGAGGGCTGGGGCCAAAGGCGTGTGAGGCTGAGGAGCTCAGGAGAAGCAGGGTGGGAGCCACCGGTAAGCACACAAGGCCAGGACCATGTGAGTGCGCTCTTTTTAAAGTACTGGGGATTTTAAAAAAATAATAAAAATTAAAAAGTAAAGAACTGGGGATTGAACCCAGGGCCTTCACATTGAGCTCTGTCCCAAGCCTGTTTTAAAAATTTTTAAATGTTGTGGATGGGTGTGGTGATGCACCTCTAATCTCAGCACTCGGGAGGCTGTAGCAGGAGGATCTTCAAGAGCTTAAGGCCAGCCTAGACTACATAGTGAGTTCAAGGCCAGCCTGAACTACCTGTCTCAAAAATAAATAAGTAAATAAACAAATAAATAATTTAACTTTTAAGACAGGTTTTTCACTAAGTCATTAAATTGCTGGCCAGGGAGATAGCTCAGTGGCATAAGCACCTGCCTCACAAGTGGAAGCTCCCGAGTTTGATCCCTGGTACCACAAAATAGAAAAGTAAATGAAAGTGCAAAATATGCAGGTAATCAAATCAATACAACACCCCCCAAAAAAGTTTTCAAAAAAAAAAAATTAAATTGCCAAAGCTGAGCATGAATTTGGAGATCCTCCTGCCTGAGCCTCAGAGTGATAGGATTAGCGCTCCTTGGCCAGCCATAATGTACCCTTGGGGCACAGTGGTGTATTGGGGCCCCTCACATGGTTTTAGCCTGACATGGCCAGCCTGGGTTGCTGAGGACAAAAAGGGCTCTGGTGGGTGTGTTGGGAGCCTGGTCCAAGTGGGCCTGGGTGATCACGGCTGTGCCAGGGACACAGGGAGGATGCATAAAGGAGATATGAGGGCGGCATAAGGCACCCTGGCATCCTCAGGGTGAGCGTGCAAGAGTTGTGCACCTACGGGTCGGCCTAAAATAAGTGTAGGTGATATCATATACTAAAACTTCAGAAGGCATTTTGAAGCCAAGCACTGCGATGCACACCTGTGCTCACAAGGCATGGGAGGCCGAGGCAGGAGGATTGCCAAGAATTCAAGGCCAGCTTGAATTACATAGGGAGATGCTGGCTCAAACAAAAGGCACTTGGCACTACATGTGGTGCCTGGTGTGGGCTGGAGGGCATGCTGTATGTGAAAGAGCAGGGATTGGCTGGGCAGGGCCAAGTGTAGACGCATTAGCAGATTCTGGGAGGTGGGCAAGGGTGCATAGCCGTATTGGTTGGTCAGGCTCATGAGCAGTATGTGTGGCTGATCATGGCTGTAAAAGCGTGCTAGTCTCCCAGGGCCAGGGTGCAAGGGGTAGGCCTGGTGTGCGAACAGCATACGTGGGGGCACAGAAAACTGTTGCAGCATGCACAAGGAATGTGCATCCACACCCAGGTCAAGTGTACTCCTGGGCACAGGTGAGCAGGGGCCAGGTCAGCTCACATCAGGACCTAGGAAATCTCGACAGAAGGAGGGCATGGTCTTGCCAGAGCAGAGCAAGGGCTCACAGATGCGCAAGGTGTACACGGCCCGGTGAGGGGTCCAAACGCACAAGGAACAAGCAGGCGCCGCAAGGTGAGCATGCGCATGCACATGGGCGGGCCTACCGACCTGGGGCATCTCCCACTGCGCACGGTTGGTCTCTGAGATCTCAAAGTAGATGCGCTCAATGCGGCGCGAGGCGCCCATGATCTCAATGCGCCCCAGGTAGGGCCGGAAGTACTCAAGGATGCTCTCGGCCAGCTCTAGGAAGTTGCGCAGGCGCGGGTCGTGGGGCACATGCTCCGACAGGTTGGTCAGCAACACCGCCACGTTGAAGCCAATCTCACGGGCTGGCTCCTGGAAACGGTTGGCAAATTCCTCACAGTTGATCATCTCGTTCTCGTCCGCTTCGGAGCATGAAAGCAGGAACTGGATCTCTGGCCCGGTGAACTGCTTCTGGCTGTCCATGGCCTAGGGGTGAGCAGGAGAGGTCAGTGTGGTGGCCATGGGACCTCGGTGCTCTTTTTCAACTCTCTGTGGACTTTATATAGTCAGAAAAATCTGGAATCAGGTATCCAGCAACTGATGCTGATATGCAGCAGAATGGCACAGAGGTGGCTGAACGAACCGTCAAAATACTGAAGTGCAGCTGGGCTTGGTGGTGCACACCTATAATCCCAGCGGTCTGGGGGGCTCAGGCAGGAAGACTGCAAATTTGAGCCCAGCATGGACAACTTAAGCAAGACCTTATCTCAAAATAAAATAAAAAGGGCTGGGGAATATAGCTCGGGATGAAGGCGCTGGGTTCAATCCTTAGTACCTTAAAATAAAAATAGAAAAGAAAACATGAGCCGTATGGACTGTACACCGGGCGTGGTTGGCACATGCCTGTAACCCCAGCCCTTGGGCGGCTGAGGCTAGAGGATTGTTTCAAATTTGAGACCAGCCTTGACTACACAGTGAGCTCAAGGCCAGCCTGAACAGCATAGTGAGACCCTGTCTCAAAAAAAAAAAAAAAAAAATCATCTTTTATATGACACATTCCATTTTCAGAAATGGCAAAACATGGACAATGCCCCCTTTCTTTGTCCTGTTGCCTCCCCCTCCCTACGGGTGACCACTGTCCTGACGTGGAACCTCCCAGACACGTGTCACTCATTTTCCTGTTGTCTAGTCATTGCCCACAAAAAGTATCTAGTAATAATCCCATGCATTTTTTTATTTAAAGAATCATTAATATAATCATGTAATTTGAAACCTGTGTTTTTTCCATTCATTTGTGTGTTTGCAATGTTGATAGGTACATAGCAAATGAGTTTATTTTTGCCTTTATAACACTATTATCCTGGTGTTAAACAAAATTTAAGTTGTTGTTAGCTTTTCGTCATTCTGTTACATTTTACTTTACACGCAAAACATTGGTGGAACATACAACACTGTTCATGGAACATTCTCGAACCGATTTATCATGCATTTTGCAAGTGCCTCTCAAAGGCAGTGTTTCAAATGTTCTTGACCACACTGGCAGTAAGAATGCATTTTGTAATGTGATTAAAAAAAAAAAAAAAGGTTTCACAACACAATTTTGACTTTTGCTGTGCCATACATTCTGCAATGTTCTCTTTTCTTTTTAAAGACGCTAGTTGTGGTGGGCGGGTGGCACATAGCTGTGGTCCCAGCACTCTGGGAGGCTGAGGCTGGAGGATTGCCAAGTTTGAGCCCAGCCTGGACAACTTTGTGATTTAGCAAGACTCTGTCTCAGAAAATAAAAGGGCAGGGAATGGAGTTCACTGTGAAGGTCCTGGGTTCAATTCCCAGTACTGTATCGAAAACAACAGAAAAAAAAAATGCTGGTCATGACTTACTAAATTAATTTCATGACCTACGCATAGGCTGCAAGAAATGCTGCTCTGGAGCACGAACAGAATGAAGTGCTCTGGCTCTAAGGAGCGCTTTGTGAAAAGCCAAGAGGCTTGCAAAATGTTTTCTAAATGAGTAATATGCTTTGCAAATCATTAAGGGCTCTAGAAACCACAGAGAGTGAGACATAATCACACAGGAACTTCTACCTCGCTCCCGCGCCTGCTGAGAGATGACACACTGGTGAAAGCCCACCCTGCCCTCGGCCTGAGGTCCCTTCCCTCCACTCATACCTCTCTCTGCTCTTGAGACCTGCTGACCTCTCTTCCTTATGCCCCATGTGCCCATGCCTTCTCTGACTACTGTCTGTCTGTCTTTCTCTATTTCTTTCTTTCTTTTTCTTTTTTTGCAGTATCAGGGATTGAACTCGGGACCTTGCACTTGCCAGACAAGTGCTTATGCCGCTGGGCTATATCCTCAGCCCCTCTTTCTTTCTTTTTTTTTTTGGCTGGCGTCTCCTTCCTCTCCGGATCTCTAAAGGTGGGTGTGGGGTGGTGGGAGGTGGGCATTGCATCCCCTTTCTCTCATACTGGGAATTGAACTCAGGGCCTCTGCACTGAGCTACAACCCCCAATCCTTTCTTATTTTTTATTTTGAAAAAAGGTCTCAGTGAGTTGCTAAGTTGCCCGGGTTGAGCTCAAACTGGTCATCCTCCTGCTTCAGCCTCCCAGGTTGCTGGGATCACAGATGTGCGTCATCATGTCCAGTGGCATCCCCTTCTTGAGACAAACTTTTGTGCAGGCATCTCTGAGCCTCAAGGCTGCGAGTGCCACCCACAGTGGTCACCAAGTCTGCCCTCAGCCCTGACTACTGTGCAGAACGAAGCCACTCTTATGGCTGAAGCCTAACAACTCTGTGTGGCTATCTCTCCCCAGATAGAAGTGGCCGGAACTAAACTTTTGATGTTAAAATCTACCCTCCCACGGTCTTACCCATCTCAGGAATCACATCCTCACCCACCAGCACTGTAGCTAAAACCTTTGAGTCATCCTTGATTCCTCTCCTCTGTCTCACCACCTACATGTGATTCCTCAGTGCATCTGTTAGCTCTGCTTGCAGAATAGATCTAGGGCTCACCCACTCCTGCCGCTTCACAGCTCCCACCCAGTGCCACACAGCGTTCCTCCCTGGACTATCCGAGCAGCCTTTTTCCTGGACTCCCCAGATCCACTGCTGTCCCCACACAGTGAGAGGAACCTCACAACCTCCTTCAGGCAACCTCCCTCTCCTCTCCAGACCTTTTCTTTCCTCTTGAGAGAAGGGCTCAGTACAGTGCTCACGCTGTTCTTGAACTTGTAGCCCTCTTCTCCCCCCACCCCCCGAGTGCCGGGATCCCATGTGCGTGCCACTGTGCTGGGTCAGAATTTCCCCTTCACTCCATCTCATTTGGGTTAGAAGTCAAAGTCTCCCTGGAGCCAACCAGGCCCTGCATGTGTCACTGTTTACCGCCGCCTCAGTCATCTCTCCAGCCACCAGAATGGCCTCTTTTCTGGCCCTCCCTTTCCCGTCTTTCAGCCTGTGCACTTGCTGTCGTCTTTGCCTGGGACCCCACAGCCTTCCCAGCCTGCATAGACCCTCTCAGAGCTCAGCTCCTGCACCCCCCTGCCTGCAGGCCTTGCTTGGTGCTCATGGCCAGCCTGTGCCACCTCCTTCACACCACAGACCATGGCCTGCCCTTATTTCTTTGGAGTTATTTTCACTTGCCTTTCCCTACTGGACCTACTCAGAGGTGGCAGGTGCCTAAGCTCACTGGTGTGCCCTAGGATGAGAGTGCGCAGCCAGTGCTGTCTTTGGGTGTCTGTCCCCAAAGGCCTATGTATGAAAGGCTGGCTCCCAGGTGGTGCTATTTGGAGGAGTGGTGGGCCTTCTTGGGAGTGGGAGGAGGCAGGCAGGATGTTCTTAGGGAGGAGTGTAAAGAGTGCACCACCATGCCTAGCTGAGATAAGAGTTGGGACGTACTAAGTTATATGTATCTATTTCTTTTTACTTTAAAAATGTAGTTATGGAGGCCGGGGAAATGGCTCAGTGGAATAAGAGCTTCCCTGGCAAGCACAAGGGCCTGAGTTCAATTCCTGGTTCCGCCAAAAAAAAAATAAATAAATAAAATAAATAAATAATAAAAATGTAGTTATGATGGGCTGGAGAGATAGCTCAGCAGTCTAAGCTTCTCCCTGGCAAGCACAGGGACCTGAGTTCAATTCTCACTACCACATGCCAAAACCAGGCATGTTGGTACATGCCTATAATCCCAGCTCTGGGGAGGCTGAAGTAGGCAGACCACTAGGAGTTTGAACTGTGTATAGAGACTCTGCACTAAATAAATAAATTCATTAATTAATAATGTAGTTATGCTGCTGGGTGTGATGGTGCACGCCTATGATCTAAGCACTCAGGAGGCCGAGGCAGGAGGATTTCTGCAAGTTGAGCCTGAACTACATAATGAGATCCTGTCTCCAAAAAAAAAAAAAAAAAAAAGTGGCTGCTAGAGCATTTTAAATGATACACGGTGTTCTTCCTGTGTTTCTGTGGGACAGTGCTGCTCAGTAGGGTTACCTAGGTTGTGAGAAGATAAACCGGGAGGACAGAGAAAGAAAAAGTGGTATGAGAAAGAAGTGGGCTGAAGGAGATTTAAGAAAACATCCACCAACTAATGGGTGGACTTTGTTTGGATTCTGATGCAAAGAAACTGCAAAAAATAGCCACATGACAGTTACAAATTTGAATATTGTCTAGGTACTTCGTGACGTAAAGGCTTGTGGATACTTCTTGTTTTATTTTTGTTGTTTTGTTTTTGGTTAGGTGTGATAATGCCATTGTGGTCTGTCAAATGGAAGAAAAGTCACGTAAGACCACGTATACTGTGTCAGTGCAGAGATGAGGTGTCCAGGGCAGACAGACTCATAGACACAGAAAGTAAATGGCTGGTTCCCGGGCTGGGGCAGAAAGTGGGAAATGACGGCTGAAGGCTGTGATGGTGCTTTGGGGGGTGATTAAAATGTTCCAAAATTAGCCTGTAGTGTGGTCGCACGGCTCTGCGCTACACTAAATGCCATTGCATTGTACGCCTTACGTGAGGGGACTATAATGGAAGGTAAATTATATCTCAATGAAGACGCTTTCATTAAAAAAGAAGCCATAGCTGGTGTGAGGGCTTAGGTTTTAGAATTCCTGTTCTTCTAGGAGGCTGAGGCAGGAGGATCATGGGTGTTAGCTCAGCTTAGGCATCTTAGTGACTTAGCAAGTCTCTGTCTTAAAATAGAACAATTTTAAAAAGGTTGGGGATGAAGTTCTTTGTGAAGGCCCTGGGCTCAAACCCCAGTATCACAGTAAACAAACAAACATGTTTTTCGTTTTGCTACTGGGGATTGGTGCCGGACCTTGCACCTGGTAGAGACTGGTATATCCTCAGACTTTGAGAAGTCTTCTGGCTGGGGAGAGAGCTCAGCAACACAGTGCCTGAGGGCTTGAGTTCCAATCCTGGTACTCACGCACACAAAATGAAGTCTTCTAATTAAGAGTTACAAAGAAAAATATTTGCAGGCGGCATTGGG